TGATAAAGTAGTGAACTATGTGGCTTATACGGCATAAAAATATAGTCATCACTGAGACATATGGAGTGAGAAAAGACAAAAGGCAATGGCAGTCCTCTGCAGCCTCCACTCTTCCAGGTGAAAAACAGCTCTGACTAACAAATGGGAAACATGGGACAGAACTGTCCAAAGAAATACTTGGTGAACTTGGTCACTACTTACAACCTAGTGACCCAACTTCACCCTTTATATAACTTAGCAGTTTGCATTCTTGCAACATTTCCCGAGTGCCAGGTACTCATATCTCCGTTCTCTAAATAGAAAACGAAGTTAAAGACAGTCGGGGCTCATACTCAGGCTGCAAGCATTGCACCCTTGTGGTGTGCCACACTGAAGGACAGACAGCACAGCCTGCTGGCAAAAGTCTCTTTTGTAAACGTCCTTCTAGACGCATTCCCTGTAAAGGCTGTCATATTATATACGATGCATCTGCCCCTCCTAAATGGAGATGATGCCTGGCAGGTGACTACAAAGGTTTGACTACGATGATATAAATTAATTTTTTCTTAGACGTTAATGCTTAACAAATAGAACAACATTGGGGGTGTTAAAAATTCTACCAGAGAAATCCTTAGAAGGCATAGCATGGCAGACATGGCCACCTGAGTTTCTTAAGCCTTTTGTTTTTTAACAGAGTCAGTTTGTGGAAGACTTTCTGTTGAGGAGCTATAAATCAAAAGTAAGTTCTCAGACCTTGAAGAAAAGCCCACTTCACAAGTCACTACAGTCCAGGATCTGTGGCAGCAACGAGGACAAAGGGCATAGAGCTGGCCAAAAACAAGGCCTCATCTTGGCAGGTGCAAGCCATGCCCTGCACCGTTTGGGCCGCTTTGGGAAATATTTACCTGTTTTGCTTTGAGCACTCGGTAAAGCTTGTCTTCCTCCCTCTTTCCCCTTTATTCCTTCATTTTTGTATTCTCTCCGCTGCCCCTCACTGGGGACTGAGTAGGTAAGGGTGGCCCTAGAGTTTAGATTGAAATCCCCAGCCCCAATGTGATAGCAGCTGAAGGCAAGGCCTTTGGGGGAGAATCAGATCACGAGGATAGAGCCTCGTGAATGGGAAAAGGGCCTTTGTTAAGCGCCCTAGCCACTTGGTCCTTTCTACCTTGTGCAAATATTAAGAAGACAGTCTTCTGCAGCCAGAAAGATGGTCACCAGCAGAACTCAATCCTGTTGACATCCTAATCTCAGACTTTTGTCTCCAAGATGGTGAAAAATAAATTATATGATTTATACATGAATAATCTCATGTGTGGTGCTTGGTAAAGCATCCTGACTAGACATACTCAGTTCTGTGTTCAGAGTGGACCCTAGAAACAAAACTTGTAAAAGGAATACCAAGCGCTGAGATGTTAACAAGTTTGTCTCATATCTATAGGGTGTAAGGTTACCACTATACAGGGGAGGGTATTGAGTCAGACAAAAGGGACAAAGTCTGCTTGGAGCCCCACAACTCCTATGACGAGACATAACTGTGCTCTGGAGGGATAAAAGACCCACACTGCACAGTTCGAGGGGCACAAGGGTGTAGGCTCTGCCCATAGCAGTCTTCTTAGCTGTCATAAACCTAAGAACGCTCAGGATTCAGTGTTCCTTCAAACTTTAAACAAAATTTCTAAGAAGACTTATCTGAAAGTGTTCTCCCTTATTTTTTTTTTTTAAAAATACTTTTCTATCTCTCTCAGGACTTCAGTGGAAGGATTACTAGGTACTCACAGTTGGCAGGTAAGCCCTGAGGAAAGAGACATATACATGGGATCTTTTATGGGTATCGCAAGTCTCAGAGGGTCCAGCACCAAAACCTCAACACCATTATCACTATTGCTCTCGTTATTGTCAGCTTTTAGGCTGAAGCACTTGCTTTTTCTAGAATTACTGAGAAACTAGAACCCCTCCATTGCTCTCATCCCCTGTGCCCTCCCAGACTTGCAAAGCTTGGGAAGTAAATGGGACTCCTATTCTTTAGTCTGGTGATTTCCTCTCATGCTCAGTAAGAGCTCAGCTTCTCCAAGGAGTTAATGACAGCTAATTAGTTTCCCATTCTAGCTGCTTTTGTACGCCTCCAGTCACAAACTACTGGGTACAAGTGAGGCCCCATCCACTGTAATTGCCTAGCTCCAGGAGCTTATAACTCCCTCTCCTGAGGTCAGTGTGATGTAAAAATCGCACAGAGATCCCTTGAGATCCTTCACTTGTTGTGACCAGTTCTGTGACCTTGAGTGGAATCACTGTCCTAGGAATCTGGTTTGGGCACCACCAAAGTGGGGGTCAGGGGAGGGCACAGTGACTTCGAGAAACCAACCATTCATTTCTTGTTGGGCACAAATCATTCCACTGGTACCCTAAATTGTTTTTTTTGGGAAGATGTCACTCTAGTTACAAGGTAGTCATATGTACCCTCAAAACAAAACAGCATCGAAGACCAAATATTCTGCTCTAACCCCAACTACTGATCTTGCCTGTTATGCAAGGGGTAGGGGGAGGACAGCACCTTTCCTGAGGGGTGCACTGAGTGCCTGAGCAGGGTCCTCAGGCTCCGTGGAGTTTTGCTCGCTAGTAACACCACGCATGTGCTCACAAAATATGCCTGTCAGCCAGGCGGTGGTAGTGCATGCCTTTTGTCCCAACACTCGGGGAAGACAGAGGCAGGCGGATCTCTGTAAGTTCGAGGCCAGCCTGATGAGTTCTAGAACAGACTTAGATACACAGAGAAACCCTGTTTTGAAAAATAAAAAACAAAACAAGCAAAAAACAAAATGTGCCTGTTCACCCCTCACCATCCTCGGTAAGCTGCATAGAAAAGAAGGACCTATTCCATACTGACATCTTTGTTTAGGCTCAGTTATACTAAATCTAAGTGTCTAAAGCAACAGTCTGCTACTCAGAAAATTAATCTTGGTAGATAGGAAGTTTTACTATTCATCTCTTGATTCGATCAGAAGTCAAAGGGGGAGAACCGTGCACAGTCAAAAATCTTGGAGGCAGGATCAGGAAAGCAGCAAGGAAGGGAGCATTGATAACGTGACAGTTATTAAAATGTCATCCCCACGTGATGGAATGTTCAAGAATGAAAAAAAAACATTACAACTAAATCAGAATCAACTGGGATATAATGGTAATAGAAAAAACCAGCACACTGGTCAAGACAGAGTCGATTTTCCACAAGGCAGAGTCACTGAAAATCACATAAGGGCCTCCTGCTCATATTATGGATTGAGGCTTAGAGAAGATACTTGAACCAAAAAAATTGGTCTAGTTTGGAGAATATGCTAATTTTCTTCTGGTAAAAATTTTAGAAATCATGGGTTTTCTTTTCCAGGCAATTATTTTAATGAATCAAATGGGGTTTCAAGAAACAATTAAATGAGCTCAATTTGGTCTCAAGTTCAGCAAAATGAGATCATTCGTTCTGGATTTGGTTCAGTTGAGGTCAAGTCTCCTGTCTAAAACAGAATAATAGGATTGGGGTAGTTTTCTTTTATGTCCTGTACTTCCTTTGTATTGTCTTTCCCAAACTTCTTTTTGTCCTTTTCCGTGTGTGTGTGTGTGTGTGTGTGTGTGTGTGTGTGTGTGTGTGTTAGCATAATCATGCTTTTGTGTGCAGATGTATCTGGAAAGCAGAAGTCAATGCTGCTCTTTCTCCTAATCGTTCTCCAGCTGATATTTTTAGATAGGATCTCTCTCCCTGGGACCCAGGGCTTTTTGATTCTGCCAGGATGGTTGGCCAGTGACCCCAGATGTCCTTCTAGCTCCCTACCCCAGCACTGGGATTGCAGGTGTCCATGCCATGCCCAGAATTCATGCAAATGTTAGAGTCCTCCTGCTTATGTGACAAATACTTCATGAACTCAGCCATTTCTGTAGTCCTGGGTCCCAGTTTCTATTGAACTTTATAATATATATATAGTGTATATATATTACACTAACTTTAACTTGTATATAAAACTGAGCATTGAATAATCAGGGATGTATCCTTTTACATTTTTAAACATTTATTTATTTTTGTGTGTACGTATGTTGCTGTATATGTGCCATGCGACATGCGGAGGGCAGAAAGCCACTTGTGAGAGTTGACCCTTTTTCTCCCATATCATACTGGGGGTTGAACTCAGGTTGTCAGGCTTAGAGACAATCACCTTTCCCTGATGAGTCCCCTTGCCAGCTCCTAATGTTTTTATCTTTTTCTTTCTGCTTTTGTTTGCTTTTTAAAACAATTCTTACTATGTTGCTTGGGATAGCCTCAAACTTGCTATGTAGTGGCCCAGGCTGGTCTTGAACTCACAATCCTCTTCCCTTAGTTCCACCCTGTGGGGATTGCAGGCATGTGCCACTATGTCTGGCTCTACGTTTTTCCTTTAACTAAGCGATGTTGCTAGAAATTCAGATCACACCAATTAGCTAACACAGCAACAAAGGTAATCTTTATACAAATAACACAAACCATCCAGATAGAAGTGTCTACGGTGATGCTAAACCAGGCCCAAGTAATGGCACCTCTATAAAAACATAGTACATCAGGAAATACTTTCCAAGGAATAACACAAATGCAAACATATGAGACAGCGATTCTCAACCTGTGGGTTGCGAGCCCTTGGAGGAGGGGGTGTCAAATGACCCTTTCACAGGGCTCCCACATCAGATATCCTGCATATCAGATATTTATATTACTATTAATAACAGTAGCAAAATTACAGTTAGGAAGTAACAACGGAAATAATTTTATGATTGGGGGTCACCACAACTTGAGGGACTGTAGTAAAGGGTCACAGCATTTAGGAAGGTTGAGAACCACATTGTGAGGCCGGCGACAACAAGGAAACACAGAGAAGGAAAACTTCATTTCTTCAAAAGTTTAGAATCGTAGCATAACGTGGGTGTTGGGTATAAGGCACGGGGCTAAGGTTCCACGAACAGCATTTCTTCCCAGACAGGAAACAAAGATGGTCCCACTTGTCTCTTACCTGTGATGGTGGCTTTGTTGATGGATGGTTGATTGCACATGGGTGATCGTCTGACAAAGAAGGAAAACACAAAACAGTAAGCGTGTGTTGCTGCTTGACTTTAGTACCCTGAGTTGCTTTGAATGAGTCATTCTAATCTAAAGAATTATTTTAAAGTTATAACACGACCATAAATACTTCATTGAGTTTAACCCAGAAAGTTTTTAGATGCCCTTTCCCTGTGGCTCAGACTATGGATGGGAAAAGAGGAAAAGAAAGAAAAAACGCTAGCTTGAATCCTGTGGTTGGACCCTGGGGGAGATTCAAGCAGAAAGGAACATCGTAGGGATGTGTCTGGAGAGGGCATTCTTATTGGCTGACTGTATTCACATACTCCACTAAGCTAGGGTATGCAGAGCAAAGCAGACTTCCTGAATGTGGAAATATGGTGAGCTTATAATGGTTTTTTCCCTGGTGCAGTATTAGAAACTCATTTATGGCTTATAGTCTCACGATTTCTTGTATATTTACCAGGAGTGAATGATTCCTTCTAAACAACCCTGGGTATTGAAAAGGTATGTAAATGTTTTTCCTTTCCAGTTTCTTCGTTGAGAAGCATCTCTGGCAAGTTTGTTAGAGAGGTACATTAATAGCTTGTCTAAACAGATGCCTTAGAAGCTTTAGTGTCCTATAAACCCACTGTATTTCAAGAGACTCCATTTGGTATTTTTCACTGTTCTTCAGTTGTTTGCCAGCTCCCAGAGGGCAATTATAAACACCTTTAGGAACATGCCTACTATACCATTAACCTGTGTTCTCTAGGAAGGCCAACATGATGCATATAGTATTCATGTGGTCAGTGCCGATCAAATTATGTTAAAATGAGAAATCATTTATGAGACATCTATTAAACACATTTGGAAATATAACTTTTTAAAGTTATTTCTTATAACTGGCATCCTTCAAAGGATGGCAATTTTTAAAAATCCTTCAGGAAGCAGATACATTGCAAGATGTCTGCAAAACATCTCAGGCCCTTTTCCTGTGTGCGCATGCATGTGCATAGACATGCTTTTTCTAGCGGTTAATTCTTACAAAGCCCTGCACTGTGTACTTCAAATGAGTTGAGACACTTAACCCTTAGAACAAGCCTCAAGGCAGGTGAGCTGATTGTGTGTGGTTTGCTAAGGACAAAGCAGTACGTTTTGAGAAGTTGAAAGTTTCAGAGTATCAGAGCTGAGATTTGAACTCGCGGACTGCGACACTCATGCTGTTCTCTGCTCTGCTATCTTACTATTAGGAGTGTGTGTGTGTGTGTGTGTGTGTGTGTGTGTGTGTGCATAAGTGTGTGTATAAGGGAAAGAAAGGTGGGGGGAGAGGGAGGGAGAATGATCCGGGCAGTCACATACATGAACCCATTGTAGCTCTTCCCTTCCCTCTACCCTGCTGGTAGGCTGTGTCTCCCAGCCAAGCTGCAGGACCCCCAGGGAACGCAGTCTTAAAATCATGTAGGCTTCCACAGGCTCCACTCAACAGCACCCAGTTGCACTGCCGTTCTTAAGTTTATTGATGTATGTTCTGTATTTAAATTTTGTGTATGATTGAAAATGTACCAAGATTAATGTCTGTATTATTTATTATAAAATAAAAAGTGGAAATGTGAATGTGATGAATGCTTTATAAAGCAATAGTTTAAGGTTTTAGAGCTGCCTTGCTCTACGTAGCGTGGTTATGTTCTTGCTGAAGGTTTACTATGTACATGTGACAGAGCCTGTTCAGGGTGGCATTGCTGGAGACGAGAGTTTATCCAAGCACGTTTTATACTGACGAGAATTTTCAGTCACTCCTTGTTCTGTAGAAATTTAGAAAGTATTCCTTTGGCATGGGAATATCAAATGAAAATGTTACGCTTTTCTATAGCTTTAGAAAGCAAAATTATTGCCTTACTATTTATCTTTTTCTAGGATCAGTTCTATGACTTGCATGTGGGAACCTGGCAACCCATAACCATAAATATTGACCATTAGATCCATGAGGACATTGGTAGGTATATCATTTAGTGAAGAAAAAGCCAAACTTCACTTCTGGGCTATATATGGCAAGAGAGCAAGGTGATAGAAACTAACAGTGTGTTTACAAATGTCAGTGATGAGCTCAGGTCTCCCACCCGGGGTCAAACCTAGGGCATATTATCCATCAAGTCCTTCCTTGGTAAAAATACAAAGGCACATACCCGCCTCTAAGTGTGATGGTGAACTTGAAAATGTTCCAGGGACTAGGGGTGCTCATCAGGCAAATTCAGAGCCTGCCAGAACGACTGTTCTCAACCTGTGGGTCACGCCCCCTTTGGTAAGCAAACCACCTCTAAAATTATTTACATTACAATTCCTAACAGTAGCAAAACTGCAGTTATTAAGTAACAACAAAAATAATGTTGTGGTTGGGGGTCACTACAACATGAGGAACTATATTAAATGGTTGCAATGTTGGGGAGGTTGAGAGCCGCTGTTCTAAAGTTATGCAACGTGCCCTCGGCCGTCCCTGAACAGAACCACTTGTCAGGAGTTTGATTCCTAAATTACGATGCCCCAGGAATCTGGCTGAACTTGAACCAGTGGACGAGGTATACATCTGCACTCTCCAAACGTGCTGGCTCTTTTTGTAGTCTGCTGTAAACGTGTTTGGTTTGGTGGGCATCCGTTGGCAAGGGTAGTGTACAGTCAGGCAAGCTAGATGGACTTTCCAGGGTTAGCTTTGACTTTCGGACTTCCTTCTTTCCAGATAAATCCACCCTGGCCCTGCAAATCTGTGTGGTATAGAAGGGACTTCTCTTCAGAGACGGGAGGGTCAGTGTGACGCCCTCACGCCTGGCATACGTGTCAGATCAACTTTCATGTGTTTACATGCTGCTTAACAAGGTGACAGCATCTGTAGGAAATTTAGCAGAAGTTTGTGTCTTATTGGCCTTTTTAAGATGAAAGAACTAAATTCCCTTAGTTGAAATTTGCAACGGAAAAGCTTGAGAGGGGCAAACAATAGCTCCAGTCTTTGGGCTGAGCTGAGATCTTACAAAAGTGAGGAGATGGTCCCTACGCGGTACTAGAAGCCCAAGAAGCTTGCAGAGGTCAGCATGACACGGTACAGCTGACCGCGCTGCACAGAAAACGCCCCCCCGGCAAGACATGGGTCCCTCAAAGCGTACCTCTGGGGTGCAAATGCTTTCCTAGAAGTTGACTACTAGCAGCATCTGCGGGGGGGTTGCACTGTATGAGGATGGGAGCTGGGAACGCAGTGGTGAACAAACTCCCATGGTGAGCAGAACCTATGAAGGCACCGCGAGTGCCACCGGCAGAGGGCGCTCCTGCCAAGAAGGATCACTCATTCACTGGTCAAACACGGGGAGGGTCGCCACAAAGTAATTCTAGAAAATGAAGTCAGCATTGTATGGCACAGAGCATGCGGCTGGGCAAAGGCAGTGGTTCAGAGATGTCTAATGTATTGAGTTCAGCTCAAGTTGAGAAGACACCAAGGAACGGTTCAGGCAGAAGGGAAGAGAAAGGAGTAACTTACTTGCTGGGTGCTCGTTCTTGCAAATTAGTTAATGCAGCAAAGTTGTTTCGGACGGTTCGCAGGCTGGCCAAGACCTATGACAAAAAGAGAATTCTTTAGAGTTCTTGAGCCGGGGCCAGTGGGAATGCAGCTAAACATGCTTTGTAAGGAAGAAATTTTATATTCCTTGTAACTCAGTTTCACATACCATTACAGAATCTTCCAGAACTTAGTTAAGTTTTTAGTCCTGGTATATCAAATCCAGGGAGGTTAGACTCACAGAATTTTGAAGAAACCCCCTCTCACTGACTTTGCTTGTGTTAACAGTAGCAGCCCTGGCCCCACATCCTGTCGTCATCCACACAATGTCCCCAGAAATTGCGATTATAACATACTATAATACAAAACACTATGACAGTCTAAGGTTTAGTGATTAAAATTAGTCGAGAATTCTCTTAGAAAATTCTTCAAGATTCCTATGATCTCAGGTCATCAGATTATGAAACGCTTCCATTGCTTTTCCATCTTTATAGAGGACTTATATAGCTAGTTAGTGCACAGATACTTTTTGCCTCTGCAGCAATTGTGCACTTTGTGGAATATACGAAGTCCGAAGAAAGACAATGACCACAGAAAACACAGTGTTCTAGACAAAGTGTTCTATACTATTCTGTACACTTCTCAGAACAAAGAAAAGTGTTCAATAGGATTGAAGAAACAAATACATGGATGCAATTTAGTCACACGGATGTGGCTATGCCAGGAAGTAGATGGCCCCACCTCTGCGAGCCCCTTCTTTGTTCTAACTCTAATCAGAAATAGAAGATGCTTAAGGAGTAGAAGTGAGTCCCAGAGAGAAGTCACAGGAGCCTGCTGACCCTCATTTTCTCCTAGAACAAGCTACTTTCCTCTGGGGTGGATCTTTATTAAGATTAGAGGTGCCGATAAGACCTCTGTGCTTATTACAGCTCTGAGTTTCTAAAAAACACAGAATTCACATGTCCTGGTATATGTCATATATTAAATGCACACACTTGGACAAGTTATGACGCTGCCTGTACCACAGTTTCCTTGTGTGTAAAACAGAGATGTCAGTGTTGTTGGGAAGGTTAAAGGAAACCACTGCTTAGTGCCAATGACATTGCCTAAGTAAAGAGTATTTGGTGATTGTGTGTCCATTATGGAAACTTCCATTTAATCATCTGGCACAAGGGAAGTCTGTATAATGCTTATCAGTGACAACACATAGAATTTTTAGATTTTTAATTGACCTCGGGGTTTGAGGACTGTGCCCTGAGTTTCTTCATGGGACAGTGATCTAGACGAAAGCCACGCTGTGCCTCAAGCATTTGTTTTTGGAAGCTGACGGGAACTGGTGCAAGCCAAAGGGAGCTGTTTATGCTTGGCAGTGGTGACCTTCAGCGGTCCCCCTGAAGGAGTTCCTGGTGCCTCCTAGGAAGCCAGCCAGTCACTGGAAAACCTGGCTCATTATCACACACAGCTCTGAAAGGTCACGCTGCCAGTGACGGAGTAGCTGAATAGCTGGCTGCTGACGTCAGACCACAGTGTCTCTCATGAGGCATGAAATTCTGAATGATGCAGAAATAAATGGATTAATGAGCTCGTCATGAAATCACACTGGCTTGATTTGTGCTTTAAAATGTGAATATCAAACATGTTAATAGAGCACTGAAATATAGTTATTGCATCAGTTCACAACTCCCCTTTTTCTAGACTAAGATTTTAACCTCTGAATTTTGAGACTTTTTACTCTACTACAGAACACTTAGGCCCAGCATGTTCGGCCACTGGGTAATATAGGCAGTAACTGAAGTATTTAATTTCTCTGGAAAACATTTTGAGGGTAATTCATAGTTTGTGATTGTTTGAAAGAAAGAAAGAAAAAAAGAAACAAACAAAAACATTTGCCCATGCCCATGAAGGAAAACATTAGTTCATGAACAAAACCTCTTCTCTAGCGAGGTTTGTTTTGAAGTATGCAGCCCTGGTTTGCCTGGAAACTCGCTGTCTAAGACCACACTGGCCTCCAATTCAGAGATCCGCCTGCTCCACTCCTGGTTTGCTGGGGTGAAACGTACTCTCCACACCTGGCCTATAGAAAGTTTTAAGCTTTGGTTATACTAGTAAGATACTAAACTGAATTGTTACTTTCATTTTTAGCATGTAAATTTTTAAAGAATTCCTATCTTTGGATGTTGAAGAATTTAACCAGAAAAATAAAAGTGTTGTTGAGCCAAAAAGTATCTATCGCCATAATCAAGACAAAATTCCAATGACGGCTATTTCTTTGAAGAGGAAGACACACGGAATGGGGGAAGGGCATTCAAGCGTCATTCGAAGCCCTGATAGCATTTCATTTAACTGCTCATTTTATTATTATTATTTCTGCTTTCTATATTCACTACGCATACAGTATGGTACATTCCAAAATGAAAGCGAGGGAAGAAAACCTTGGGAACTGGCTGCCTGTCCCAGGCCTGCTGATTTTTCGGCTGTCCCTTAACTTATACAATTGTGAATTTTGATGTAGTAAGTGACATTAAAGACACCTGGAGGGACTGGAGAGATAGTTCAGTGGTTAAGAGCACTGACTGCTCTTCCAGAGGACTCAGGTTCAATTCCCAACACCCACATGGGTAGCTCACAACTCTCTGAAGATCCAGTTGCAAGGGATCTGACACCTTCACACCAATGCACATAAAATAAAAAAGTTAAATAAACCATAAAAAAACACCTGGAGGTGTTTTGGTTTGCGGAGAGACAAATCTTGCTTTCTATGTTTTGTATTGAAATGTTAATAATATCTCCCACTCTGTAATGTATCCGATGGGGGCAGAAATGAAAAGAGGAATCTTCCATATGAATTGGCCATATACAATGCTGCCCCGGGTCTGGGTGATTGCCTCTGGCATTCTTCATACAAATATCATTAAGTTTTTCCTCAAACCCACTCGTTTCTCAGGACACAAGGAGGGAAGCAAACCTTGCCATACAATGAGGATAAAACGGACAGGGCTTTCCAGGCCCTGGGTAAAGGTTCAAGTTTATGGATTCCCCTCTGCTCCAGGGTAGCACTCTGCCATAAATTCAGCCCTAGCATCAGACGCTGAAATCCATACTCTGCAGTGCCTAGAATTTTCTTGTCTCTTTAATGCTTATTCGCAAAGGGCCCCTACAGTGTCTTCCAGATGGCTTAGGCTTAGAGAACTAAAATCATTGCTTTATCTTTGGCCACTCCCAGTAATCATAGAATTGTTTCAGAAAAGCAAACAAGCAAACAGCTAACTAAACAAACATGGGAGTGTAGAAGAAATGTCAATCTTAACAGTGACTAGTGACAGCCTACAGGAAACACTGTTCACTGGCCAAGGGGTGAGAATATTCACACACACAATTTCAGGCTCTGTGGGTGCTTTCAAATGTTTCTTAATTGATAGGATTCACTGAAGTTGGCAGAAAAATATAAAAATGTTGGTTTCCTTCAACAGCTTTAGTGAAGGAATGGAAATGATTTTCTGGATTTTTTTTTCCAGTCCATACTCAGCTTATGCCAGTGGGTGGCAGTAGAAGACAGACTATGGGAGCCAGGGCAGGGAGGCGGTTGCCTGTCCTTGTGAGGGCAAAGATTCTTCCTTAGTTAGGCTTCACTTCAGGAAAAAAAAAAAAAAATCAGTGGAGAGTTAGTCACAGGATAAAAAGAAAGCTACTTTGATTGAAAATCAAACCTCTCTCCAAGTTATACTTTTTAAAAGCATATGATGTGATTCTTTCTGATATGTCAGAAAGTTCTTGGTGATTTCATAATTTTGTCTAGTAAGAACAGAGCTATCTAGATGAATGTAATTCATCCCGATAATACACAAATTGCTTGTTTGTTTTTTAAATGAAAGTTGATAAAGCAACTGAAACGAGACAATGTCTCCCATTGCCTAACAGAGGTCCCATGTATTCATTGAATTTGGCCACAAGATAACTGTTACTAGGTGCAAAGGGACATGCAGCTTAAACATATATTGATGATGTTATTACTAATGGAACAATAATTCTTCATTATGTTAACAACCAATGTATTTTTTTTCTCCTTTGAAACTATCTAGGTGTTGCGGTTTTGTTGACATAAATGAAATGATGTGGTCATTCCTGCCCCTTGTGTTGTTTCCAGAACAGGTATATCTCAGGCTTCTAAAGGACACAAGGATGTTCGTTTGCAGGGACCCAGGGTGTGGGTTTTAGAAGAAAGTCACAAACAATGGGGCCATGGGAAAGAAACAGCTGACTGCAGAGACAGCGGCCGGCTTCGGCACAGCTTTACCGCCTGTGTTCAACAGATCTAAGGACTTCGGCTAAATCGTTATTATGTTCAAAAAGAAGGAAAGATCAGTAAGCATGAGGGGCAGATCGGAGGGGGGTGCCTCCCAACGCCAGACTTCATGTCTAGGGAAATAAACCAAAAGATGTGAGCACAGAAAAGAATCGTTCTAAAATAAACTATACAAACAAATTAAATTGGCACCATTTTCTGTGGGTCAGGGAGCCTCGGAGCTTCTACGAGAAAGTTCAAAAACTTTACCATAGAAGAGTTTAGATGCTAGTTAATTCCTAGTCTTGTTACAATTTGTACATTGGAACAAAACATGGATTGATTCTGTAGACTTCTTTCTAACAATTAGATCTATCCACGATGTTTGAGGTCCTGTCTTGCTCAACCAAACTGCTGATCCTCAGCCGTTCTAGACACATTCCCAAACACTTTAGGTCATTTTATCATCTACATCTATGCCACGGAGTTGAAACATTTTTGTCTCTTACGCACGAAGATCACAAATGTGCCACTCAGCTAAATCTTTGTACAAATAACACATGTGGGGGAAAAAAGGGAGTAAATAAAGTATCAGGTTGAACAGGATTCTTGAATTTCAAACACAGATCATGTACTAATTATACCAGACGTAATCTAATCCATGGTACAGTCTTCTCCTTCGGGTGCTAATTCCAGTTAGGGAAATAGGGCCGGCTGAGTACTATCTCCTTTAGGTAACTTGGTATTTGAAGTACAGACACCACTCGGGTCTAGCAGCCTTACCCAAAGCACTCTGCGGGGCTAAGGTTTACATTCTCCAGCATTGCCATCCAATGATTTGAATCAGCCAAACAGTTTGCATCCATGCACGTGTGTGTGGTAAAGTTACATTAAGGATCAGAAGAAAATCCCCACATCAAATGCAGAAGTCTGTGAGAAGCCTGCACACTCCCAGCTGTGCTTACCTGAGCAAATGGAGTCACAATCAAGTCATCTCCATGTCTGAAAAACAAACCAAATCCAGTGTTAGGCGTCTCCAATAATGCTCTGACCACTTTTGATCAATACTAAACGGTACATTCCACTGAAAGAAAATCCCATTGGGAATTACAGTAATTCCATGTTTCTCTTCAGAATATGTCCTTGCCAGCCATTGGGTTGAAAACATGTCTTCTGGATCTTAACCATTGTCCATCTCCCTTGGTCTAAAGAGGGCACCCTTGAGTGCCAAGCTTGCTTTTTAGGCACAAAGGACAGGCTATTGGTATGAAAGGGCTCTCATTTCTGGACCTGCACTTTACTCTCGACTTCTTCTTGCAGATCTTAGCCAGGGAGGCCTTGCAAAGAACCAGCTACAGCACTGGCTTCTGTGAGTAGAGTACCCTGGGCTAGCTAACATTTGTAGGTGATTAGCAGCAAGTGATCTCTATGGTCATGTGTTCAAGCCTTGGATGGGCCAGGAGCCCTACATGACATAGGGCTGCATCATCCACTAATAAAATCCCCATGAAACTTTTTCAACCGACAAGTGTTCCAGCCACTGTACTTACAGGGCAATGTTACCCTGTGAGGTGCTGTTGCTACAGTAACATCAGCTCCAGGACACGGGAGATACAAGCGCAAGGTGTCCATGGGACGTGTCTTGGAAAAGCAGGGAAATGCAAGAATTGATACAAGATTCTCCTTGAAGGAAAGTAAGAAACTGGAGCCTGGGACTCTGCAGTATTTTCGCAGCATGGATAAGTTGAGGAAAGGATGTCCTAAACCTCAATGGACTATTTCTTGATCTAGTCAGTCAACAAACAATCTTATTTAATCATACCATTTCACTTATCTTGAAAGACAGAGGCTTGCCTGGCATATGAAGCGGATCTTCAATTTTTTTTTTAAATTTATTTATTTATTAAAGATTTCTGTCTCTTCCCTTAATTGGGGGAGGGGGAGGATCTTCAATTTTTGATGCTCCCACCCTTGTGAGTGCCAGGATTTCTGGTGTGTATTGCCACATGCCAGTTTTTAAAAACTTAAGTGAATGTAGTTATTTTATACATATATTTCCTTGACATAATCGTCCCTGAGGGCTGTGTCACTTAGATTATCAGCTTGTTCCCAAGCATCTGGAAAGGACTCAAGTCCCCAAACCAATGTCGCATGCAGTACAAGAAGCAGAGAGACGAGACTTATAATGGGTTAATGATGATGAAACCACCATCTCAGAAAGCAGTCTGCTACCTAGGGAAAACTACAGAAAGAAACAAACACAGCAACATCCGGGACGGACCGAATAAGCCGCTGCAAGTCACTGTGGAAGTTAGTGTCACATTTTTCTTGTGTCTTGGATTTGGAAGGAGGTGCTCTATGCCTGTTCACCTACCCTGGTCACCCTGAGCTAAGTAAGACCCATTCTTGTGGCCACATGGAATCCCACCTCTCCCCTCTTTCTTTCTTTTTTTTTTTAATTTATTTATTTATTAAAGATTTCTGTCTCTTCCCAGCCACCGCCTCCCATTTCCCTCCCCCTCCCCTAATTAAGTCCCCCCCCCCCTCAGCCCGAAAAGCAATCAGGGTTCCCTGTCCTGTGGGAAGTCCAAGGAACCCCCCACCTCCATCCAGGAAGAGAGACCCACATTGGAGCTCTCCCCTCTTTCAAGAGAAGGATGTGCTGGCTCCTGAGACAGTGCTACTGAGGACCTGGAGGACAGGCTCAGTGGCATGTGTTGACAAGAGAAATGGCAGTGCTCCCTCTCTCTACACCTGGGTCATCTTTCCATTATCTCTGTGTCCCCTACTATGCTGTTTTCCACTCTCATTTCTGAGCTAAAGAGCCAGAAACATAGACAAGAAACCAAGAGACCCAAAAGCAAACCTTCTTATGCACAGTGTTTAAATGGGAGATGGGCACTACCTTCTAGAAGACTAAGCTCAGGCAGATTCAGCTCCTGACAATACAATTCATTCAGTAACTGTTTCCAGACTGTGGGAATTTGGGAGACATCACCTCTTCTTAGTTTCAGTGCTGGAGGCTTTTATGTTTTATTTTTTTTGTTATGTTTCCTTCCTTCCTTCCTTCCTTCCTTCCTTCCTTCCTTCCTTCTTCCCTTCCTACCTCTCTCCTTCCCTCTGTCCCTCCTCCCCTCCTCCCCTCTCTCTGTCTCTCTCCTTCCTTTTTTCCCTCCTCCTCCTTCTTCATCTTAGATATAGTCTCACCATGTAACTCTGACTGTGCTGGCACTTGCTATGTAGATCAGCCTAGCCTTGAACTCACTGAGAATCACCTGCCTCTGCCTACTTAATGCTGGGGTAATAGCCATGCCCCACCAAGCCCATCTACCTGTTGTTCCTTAAAGTAAGACTTCAAATCCGGACCTGATGGCACAGGTCCACAGTCCCTGCTGCTCAAGAGAGTTGAAGCAGAAGGAACAAATACTCCTTGCCCAGGTGCACTACAGGGTGAATTGAAGGATAGCCTGGGCAACTTAGGAAGATCCTGTCTCAAAAATAAAAATATATCTAAAGGTCTGAGACATAGTCCAATAGTTCACTGGGAGCATTCTTACCTTGCATGCATAAGGTCCTGTGTTCAATCTCTAGTAACAAATACACACACACACACACACACACACACACACACACACTCACAAATAAATAAATAAAAGCCCACAGATTTCATTAAACTTTTAAAAATACAATACAAGCTTAACACATAATTATAAATAGTTGCAATCAATATACAACAAAAATTAATATATGTCTAATGTACAAAAAATTCAGAATGAGTATCTCCTAGTGAGGAAAAGGAGTCCCGAGAAAGACACATGATCACATGTTTGTGAAGATTTTGGAAGAGGATTCAAATTCAAGTGCTATGACTTCAGGGCTCTGCTCTTACACACACGTGATTCTCCATCTCCCGTACACGTAACCAGTGTCCAAAGCACATCTGAAATGGTGCCAGCTATGTGGTATAGTGTTCACGTCAATGAAAATATCACTAAGAAAACATGTCATCAGGCACAAATGCAGAGTAATAAAATAAAATTAAACAGCAAATAAAAACAGCCATACACCACCAACCAGTGACTTAATAAAACTGGCTCATCCTTCCTGATGATCTCCATGCCAGGCATTCTGAAACTAAACAATAGAGAAACTAGTGAAGGAGCATTTACTTTTGGATCTAGAAATGGCGTTCTGGGGAGACTTAACTAACATAAACAGGCATTGTTAAATCATGAGATTTATAGCCCAGATTTTTGGCTAAAACAGACAATAATGCCAAAGCAATAACTATATAAAGTGACAGACACATTAATTAGCTTGGTCTAATGATTGCACACCTTAGACTCCTATTATGACTTTTACTGCACATCTTAAACCCAGACAGTGTCTTATGTGTAGGCTAAAAAGGATACAATTTTAAAAAGAATTAAGAGCTGGCTTGAGTTTTGAATCAACCTAGCCAAACTAAACCATCATAGCAGATGTGGTAGCCCATGCCTGTAATCCTAGCACTTGGGAGATGGAGGCAGGAGAATCAGGGGTTCAGTGCCGTAGGTTACTGTATGGTATTCAAGGCCAGCCTGAGAGCAGAAGGCTCAGTCTCAGAAACAATAAAGCTAGAGAGAGATGGATCAGCCAGAAAATCACTTGCCTCACAAGGCCAAGGGCCTGAATTTGATCCATGGAACCCACAGTAAAAAAAAAGTCAGGTGTGCCGGGTGGTGGGGGCACACGCCTTTAATTCCAGTACTTGGGAAGCAGAGGCAGGTGAATCTCTGTGAGTTCGAGAGGCCAGCCTGGTCTACAGAGTGTGTTCAAGGACAACTAGGACTGCTACACAGAGAAACCCTGTCTCAAAAAAAAAAAAAAAGCAAACAAACCAAACCAAATCCAGGTGTGGGGTTGCTTGCATTATTGTAATCACAGCATTGGGAAGCCTGGGTCCTCAAAGCACACCAATTACCCAGTCTACTGTATTTGGTGACTGCCGGACCAGTGAAGAGCCATGTCTCCAAACAACACAAGGATGATGCCTAAGGAGCAACACCTCAGCTTGTCTTTGGGCCTCCACATGTGTGTCCCTCATATACACGAACATGTACCTGCACACACAAACATGCACATGCACGCATATGCACAAGCACACCAGGTAAGTGCACAAATCCTTTGTCTTTTGCCTCACGTGTGCTCAGACCCTCATTAAGGGTGCGCATTGACGAAAAAGCACAGAGTGAGAATTTATTGTACGACAGAAGCAAGCGTGTTGTCATCCGACGCTGAATGTATGTTGTAAGACAGAAGACATTTTGGCCTCATTACACAAACATATCGCAATATTTTACTTAATAAAGACGATGAAGCAGAGGGGTTTTTCCAAGAGAGCTGATGTCACAAGTGGCCACCCAGGGCAGCGAGTACCAGGCTGAGTCTGCTGTTCCCCACACGAGGGAGGAGAGAGCAGAGTGCCAAGGACCCAGAGGGAAGGAGCCTCCGCAAGTGCCCTCACTCTGTGTTCTAGGAACAGGCTCTTCTTTCAGTGTTTGTCATTTGACAGGCCCTTCACTCATTCTTAACGTCACTGGCTCTGCTCTCTTGGGTTCTCTCCAGAATGCTCGTCTGTGTGGGAGATTTACAGCTAGCGAGGGCAATCCCCTTAAAGGATTGCCTGCAATAGAATGCCCTGTTAGACTAAAAGTTTAATTCAACACAGGAGACTTTTTGTGAGCCTACTGTGTGCCAAAAATCTAAGGGCACAGAAGAGCTGATGCTTAGGGTCCAAAAATCCAAGGGCATGCAGGAACTGATGTTTCGGGTCCAACAATCTAAGGGCATAGAGGAGCTGGTGCTTAGGGTCCTGCTGTGTTAAGAGTACTCTCACTCTCCTACTCCGAGACAAGCAACCAAGATTGGAGAACCTAGGTTCAGAGACAGTACATGCTTGGCAAATGGCAGAGGTCACTGCTTTCCCGGAAACCTGGAGCTTGTCCCGCAGAGTTCATGAG